AAGGGGGAGTGGGCACAACTGCCTGACAAGTCCAGAGACATTTGGATTTCAGTCATCTTCATCATCCTTGGAACATTTCCTTTCTTTTCACAGCTTTCACTCAATTCAGCACAATTATTGTCAAAAAGGCACGGGTAACTATTAGGCACCTAATTCACAATGTCACTCGAAGGGAGTTAGGCATGTATCTGTAATTTATGCCTTTGGAAATCTCCTCTCAATTTTCTTTCCTAATAAAAAGAAAACAACCCCGTATGTAGGGCACGGTTTTTGGAGCCAGAACACTTAGATTCACAGTACTTTAACCTCCATGTGCTTCTGCACAGTTTCTGACTGGTTTATGAAGGGCCTTGAACTTGAACTTTTTGGATTGGAGTCACTATATATAGTGCATATTAAAAAAAGTGACACACAATATATATGTACATGTGCACATACACATGATGGCAAATTAGTTGAAGATTATCAAATCCAAATGTGAAATGAGAATACATTTTGGTTTTGCTGTGGCTATTCAGGTCTAAACTCTCTCCCATCCAGTACATACTTTTGATGTTGGGGAACACTCTGAAATTAAGCAATGCATTAATTTTCTTCATCAAATGCCAAAGACAAAGGTAAATGGGAAACAAATCAGTAATTATAGTGTATACTTCATCTATTTCAAAACACCTTGCTTCTATAAACATGTATTAACTGGATGGGCACTCCTTCACAAATTAGAGATTGCAAAGACTTATTACACACCAAATTTCTCTTTGAAACTTGTCCAATAGATTCAACAAAAGTAGTACTCAAATTTGAAAAAGATGATACAGATTATAGTTGCAGGCAACAATATGCATAATTCTTTCTGTCAAATGATCCCTGAAGCCACTATTTGAGCACAGATGCACAGTATTTTGAAATACAGTTGTATCAGCATGATGTTCAAAGTGACAGTTAAACTTTACTACTGGAATCAAAATGCAAACCATTATTCTTAAATGTTAGACATGAGCACATAATAGGGGTGAGAAAGCATAGCTTTAGACTATCACAATACTTGCTGGGTGTTGGTAGGCTTATTTCCAAAACTGAGTTAGCTGAATTATGTGACCAAGGAACCAGTTGCAAAATCTCAATACAGAGTGTAATGTGTCACAGATGGAGGATGTCACTAGAGGTCTTCTGGTCTTCTTTGAGGGTCAGTCACCAATGACAAGTGAATGAAGGAACTTTTCTTGAGGTTAAAATGTAAGCTCTTTGGGGTAGAGGATCATCATTAATTATGCATTTGTACAGGACCCTGCACAAGAAGGTTGTGATCCATGACTAAATTGATTACAAGGTCCTCTGGTTGCACTTGGACTTGTCTATTGAAGAAAGATGCACTTAAACTGTGAATTTAAACCAATTTAGTTAAGCCAGGTCAAAAGGTTGTCTGGACACTTCTCAGAATGGCTTAAATTCAGTTTACGAGGTTAATTTGAGTCAATTAGGAAAAAGGTTTAAACTAATCTGAAACAACCAAATCCACGCAGTTTCAAAGCCAGTGTACGTTGAACCAGGGCACGTTCCTCTGTTAAACAAGCCTTTGAAAGAAATGTCAAAGAGCAGAGAGATTTTTGCTTCATATTGTCTGTAAGGTCAGCGGCAACATTAGGTTGACACTGACCAATATTTCCCTTTCAGCTTCCAGATGTTCTGGTAGCAGCAGGGGAAAAGACTGCTTGTTTTTCACCTCAGCGTGGCTAAACAGTTGGGATCTTTTATTTTCACTGTAGATTTCCCTGTAATTATTCACACTTTTGTTGACAGTATTGCAATGTCAAGGTGTGTTCTACCAGGTGTTACAGAAGACAACTCAAAAATCTTCAGCTCCTGCAGTTTTCAAGCACATATTTAATGAAAATGCATGAGAGAGATGCAAGTTCTCCAAGCTCTGATGGTTTTATAGAACTAGGGTGTAATTAATAGTGATGATCACTTGGATTTTTTTTTTTTTTTACATTAATGCTGATGCTCGTCTAGGATACCAACCCTTTCCCACTCCCATTAGATATCACTACAGTAACCACCATCTCAGCTGACAGTCTCTTATAACAACTGGGAAGAAGCTAATGTTGGGACACTTTCGGTGAATGGCATGCTATCTCCAAATTCAGCTGACATCCTGTAAGTCCTGAAAATGACAAAAGGCACTTGGCTCCGGCATGGTTGGATACTGATGGTCCTATTGGTATGCTAGCAAGACAGTCATTTAAAAAAAAAAAAAATCGGTCAACTGATTAAATGAGAGGCAGTGCAGTTTTACTCTACTAATCTAACCTTAAATATAAAAAATACATTCAACTTTCTTATTCTAACTCCATCTTAATAGGAGAAGTGCAAGGGTCTAAATAAAATCACTTATGTTTCTTTTGCTACCATGCCATAGCCAGATTGCAGTTGAGAAGTTTTCAGAATTTATAGCTATAATCAGTTACGTGTTGCTCAGGACACAGATTTTTGAGGTTGACAACAGAAAGAAAATTAACAGCAGTTCAGCAAGTAGTTTCACCTGTTTGACCAGAATTCAGAGCAGAGCTATCCTGCAAAAAAAAGCGTCAGGAATGTAAAACTACCCAGGATTCACATCCGTCTTCTGTGAAAGGTGCAATTACCTGTTTAAAGCTGATTATATACATATGCACACCCCTCCACATATAAATATATAAAATCAACTTACACAAGCAATTGTAAAATTGTAACAAAAGGGGGGGTGTATTCATGTATGCACATGCACGCGTCTAAAATACGTATATCACAATTACCTGTAAAATTATATCAAGATAGAAATCTTAGCTTACATTATATATACTGGAGAGCTTACACACACACAAGCAAGATAGATATCTGAGATAGAGAGAGAGATGTAATCTCTAAGATCTCTCTCTCTATACACACACACACACACTCACTCAAGATCTCTACCTTGCTGTAGTAAACTTTTCAATTTTTTTCTACTGTATTACATCTTTAATACTTTCTTGTACATAGCATCATTTGGGAAATTAAAGCACTAAGAATGAAGGTGTTAGAAGGATGAAAAAGCTTAAAATGTGTTCATTTTTCATTCGTAACAAAAAAGCTGAAGCAAAGATTTGACATACTTGCTAAATATATTAACTACCCAAAATACAGCTAAATAGCTATAAGTAAAAAATATTACATGCTGGAAAGCACTGACGGATTGTATACAAGCCAGTGATATGTTAAACTTTCAACTTTAATTTTATTTTTTGACCAAATATAACTAGCCATGCTTGTGGTATCACCAGATACCAGCAATGAGCTTTTACTAGATCAGTAGCTATTAATATGCTCTTTACAATGTTTACTAGTTAGTAACATGCAAGTAACTTTAAGGAAGTAGATAGATAACGGAATCCTGTTTTCCTTTTTGAATACATGTGCCTTAAGCTAGTATCGTTTTGCTTTTTCAGTGTACAGTAGGCTAGAGTTCATCCATTTCCCAACCTTTACTTACTACCTGTTAAGAAAAAATGGACAAGAGCAAAAACTGAATTCTCTCTGAAGTTTAAGCAAAAACATTTCACAGAATTCTGATACATTTACAATTATATACCCCACCACTCCTAAACAGTATTTTTGTAGGAATGCCAAGAAACTGGCAAGGTATTTTTTTCTGGTTTTATTACTAAAAATGTTTGAAGCGTAATGCTACTGTAGGTGGAAAAATAGATGCACAGACATAAGATACCTAATTTGCATGTATAGTTTGAACGCATTATTAACTTGAAAGTAAGGATTAGATAACACTTGTTTCCTTTCACAAAGATGCTTCCCAAAGAGGTAAATGTATTTAATATGTAATTTGAGATTTATGATGCTCTACTGTAGAAGCCTGTTTAGCCACTGATTTACAATCTTGGCAACTGAATTTAACTCTGTCATCATAGCTAATTACAGCTAACTCTAGATCACCACATTGCAAAACCTCCTGTCTATGAAAGAAATATAACATTCTCTAGAAAGAAAAAAAAACATCCTGAAGGCTACCCAACAAGAGCGCACTATTCCACCTGAGACTCAAAACTCAAAATTAGTGCCATAAACCTCCAAATTGTTATTCTTTAGAATGCTGTTTTAGCCTGAAGGACTTGGAGTAAGTCACCATTTTGTTAATACCATACTTTTAGCCTGGAACATATTAATCTTGACTAACAATAACTGACGTTTACATTACCAATTCAATTTACGCATTCTGATGCAGAAGTTTTAGGAGGAAAAGTTATTGCTAGTTTTGTATGTGCCCAAATTTTTTTTTGAAGCAAATGACGGAGGAAACAACATCAATCTGGTTACTTACATCAATATCTGACACCTGTTTCTGCTGGAAGACATTTGACTCGGAATAGATTTTGCACTTGATGTCAGAGTGCAGTTGATAAGACTACACAGTGGAAAATGGTTGATATTTTTAGGTTCATATTACCCACCTGACAAAAAGGCATTTTAAAATTTGGAAGCAATATTCATAAGGGGGAAATGGAAGGATTTTCCAGAACAATAGCTCCAGGTCACAGAGTACATGCAACCCTCACAATAACTCTAACCACCACATTTTCTGAACTACAAGCCTAGGGTGTTCCTCAACAACTCATCTCGCCACATAAATATCTTATCTATGTGTTGTTTATTTGAAATTAAACCGGTTTTTACATTATTGAGTATACAACACTTTCAGTAAAGTGACAGGAACATAGGGTAAGGTGACTAAAGCTGACCTTCTGGTACTTGTCAAGTATTTCAAAACACACCTTCAATCCAATCAACTGATCTCTTGTATGAAAGTTCCATTATTTGTCTCATAACAATATGGTGCTAAGATTAACTGGTCCAACATGTACTTGGGAAAACTAATATAAAAGATGTTTCTCCCCCTGAATCCCGAACTACTGACAGGAATATGTTATCAGTGTTACAGAGATACATTACCACCAGCAGAACACCTCCCTGCACTGAAGTTTTGAGTCTAGCTTTACAGAATTCTTGACCTGGCTCCAAACTGACTAAACCTGAAATGTGTTATAGAGATTTTTTTTTTTTCAAATTTGGAAATCTGTTATCTGAATGCTAAGCATACATGTGTGACTATTATTTCCAATATATTTTAAACGGGGATTTAAAACAGGATTCTGAAATCTAAAAGCACGAAGATGTACAAGTAAAAAAAAAGCAAAAAAAAAATTCTTCAAACTAATCAAATTATTTTAATTATTCAGATTTAATTTATACTCTTTACCAAAGGGCAAAGATTCCACTACATACAACAGAAACCTTAAAAAACAGCTTTGCTTTCTGATGAGAATAAGACAGAACTACATATATCCCATGTTGCTTTTTGTTTCCCATCTTTTCTTAGCTTCAAA